TATCCAGTGGATAGAGGGCGTTTAGGCCTGGCCCAGTGTGCAGGGGAGTGTGGGTGTCTGGTTTGGCGGACCTGGAAGCAGGGGGAAGCCCAGCTCATTCATAGCTAGACACCAGCTGGAGCTTGGGCTGAGGACAGGAGAGGACTGGGGAGCCCCGCAGAGAAGGAGTAGGGTGTAGCAGCATCTGGACAAGATGCCAGGTCCACGGTCAGCCGGGCTTTGGCTGTAAAAGCTGATCAGCCCTGACTGAGAATCTGGGGCAGGACTGTGTGTGCAGTAGCTGTGTCTGGTCACAGAAGGCAGAGATGGACAACAAATCACCCACTGTTACATCTGCCAGGTCCTTCCTGTGCGCTCCCGCCAGTCCTTACTACCACCCTGGGAGGCCAACAGTATTACCCCACGTTCCAGCTGAGAAATCTGGGGCTCAGAAGAGAGATAAGCAACATTCTCCAGGTAGTAGTGGAGATAGGATTTAAATCCAGAGCTGTCTGGGTGCAAAGCTTCAGGTGTCACCCCACTGGAACAGCTGGAGAGGGATCTTCCACCCCCTGCTCTTTAGTTCCATTGCTCAAACTGGGGGTCACCAGGCCCACCCCGTTAGCATCTCGACAATGCGGAGTAGCCTGACGGAATAGGGAGGGGCTGAGAAACTCTGAACAGGACAGTTGACCAATCTGGGCCTCAGTGCCCCCTCTGTCAGCGGGGCCATCCTGCTGCCTGCACCTCCTAGTGTTGGTACAATTCAGTGAAAGAGCTGTGTATAAAGCCCACAGCACGGTGCCTTACAGGTAATAAGCACTCCGCAGAGTTTGTTTCTATATGGTTCTCTTTGTGCCTCCAGGCCAGGAGGTTAATCTCTAACAGGAAAATCATTCTGATTCCTACCATAAAGCCAGTGGTTTAGGAAAAATGTAAATATCTATATAGACTTCTATAACCAGGTGTAGCTCAATAAAAATAAAAAATGCCTCCAGTATTCACCTTCTTGCACTGGGAAAGGAGGCTTTATTTAATACACACATGTGACGTATATTTAGCTTTCACAAATAAAAATCACACTGTGGCCAGAGTGGTTTGGGGATTTTTTTGTTTTGTTGCCTACTGAAAGCTTCTCTTTCAAGTGGAAACCAGCTTTGCTTAGCGAGTCATTTTGCCAAGGAACACATTACAGGTTTTTAATTTTGACCAAAAATACATCCCATATGTGAAGAACATAGATGGGACTTTCAAAAGAGGCCAAAAGGACAAAAGCCAGGGAAGGAGGAGGGGAGGAAAAGCCAGGGATGGTGAGAGAGAGTGGGACGTCACAGAGCTGCAGGACCCAAGGCCAGTGGGGTTTGAGCCCCAAGGAGGCATTCAGAAAGGACGTCCCCCCTTGTAGACACCAAGACTGGGCACACAGTCCTAATGTTCAGAGTACTGCCAGTTTAATTGGGGAGGATATAAGTTCCGAAGGGAGCAGTAAAAATATTTCAAGTCATCCCAGGAAACCCCCAGCTTTGAGGAGGTACCAAACGATCAGGTGAGTGAAACAAGCTGGAATGTTTAGGTTTTAATATTAACTTGATTTCGCCAGGGCCTGAGGATAATCAAGTTCTTCAAGTTACTTCTCTGCTCTGTGGCCACTGACTGGCCTGTGAGCTCCTGGGACACAGACTCCCTTTGACGTGTCCTCTGTGCCTGGACAGCTTCCTGGCACACACGGGTGCTCAGTGAGTGAATCAACACACAAACACATGACACTTCTCTGCAAACGAAGACTAGTAGAATTAAAAATATCTCACTTTTAGGTCCAACAATTTATGATATATGTTAATGTGCCTTAATTTAAGCAACTTGCAAAAACTTTAAAATGTGACTTGGTCACTAAGAGTTAAAATGAATCATGCCTTATACCTAATGACTTGCTTTTAGTTTTTTGTTGCACGCACACATACACATGCATACACGCATAACCACACAACTTCATTTGGGGATGTCATTGAAGCTCCAAAAGCTTTTGCAAATTCTCAGTGAGAATTTCCTGCGTGGTATCTTATGGGAACCAGTGGTGCTGAGGTCAGAGATGCCCACTATTCACAAGGGCTGGGTACAAATGCTTTGAGAATTCCAGGACACAGTTACAAATAATTACCATCAAAGATTTTTAAATGAAGGACATTGTTGCTAAATAAGAAACTAACGACTTGGTGGAGCTGTGTAAGTGGTTGTACTTAAGATGGGACTTCTGATCAATTACAGAGGAAGCCTGTGCTGCTGACTTCTCCACCAGGACAATTAGCTGCTATTGCAGTAATGGGGTCGTCTGGAATAGGAAAATGTTTTTAATCCTTTCATACATTGTAGAGGGCAAACTTTAAAAAGAAAAGGTATGTTTCTTTTAAAAAAGATGCTTATCTGGCTTGGCGCCTGTAGCTCAGTGGCTTGGGCACCAGCCACATACACCGGAGCTGGCAGGTTTGAACCCAGCCCAGGCCTGCCAAACGACAATGACAACTACAACCAAAAAGCATCTGGGTGTTGTGGTGGGCGCCTGTAGTCCCAGCTCCTTGGGAGGCTGAGGCAAGAGAATTGCTTAAGCCCAAGAGCTGGAAGATGCTGTGAGCTGTCACATCATAGCACCCTACTGAGGGCAACAAAGTGAGACTCTGTCTCAAAAAAAAAAAAGGTGTTTATCCCAGTACTTCTACATATTAGACAGTTCCATAAAATTTGTAAACCTAGAGTAACTTAAATAAGACAAGGACTTATAAATTCAGGCTTCCCAATTTAGCATTAACTCACCCATTAATTTTTGTGATCTGTTTTCATAATGCACAGAAAATCATTTCAAATTACATATTGGCATAAATGTTTCTAAAGACCTAATTTTTATTTGCTTGAATCATGCCTGTTGTCTTAATTAGAAGCATTTCCTTATTAAAATCTAGAGTGAGCCTGCCTCCCTACCGTACAATTTTAAACACATTTCAAAGAAAAATGATTTACTTATTAATGTCTGTCATATAGGTAAAATCAATAACGATGCTTCGTTTGAATATTTCTTGACAGTTTCCGTATTGATTGCATATATATTATCTCCCCTGCTCCTTACGATACATTGACAAGGTAGGCCTGGCAAGGTGGGAAGCCATGTATTTCCAAGAGTTCAAGTAACTGGCCAAAGATTGTGTAGCTGGAACATAGATACAGAACCACTCCTCTGCCTCTTCCCAAATAAGTGAAATTAGCTTATTTATGCAACACAGGATGATTCATTAGTTTGCTAATTGCTCCTTTCTTCGCCTCATTAACATGTATAAATATCCAGAAGGCCCCTCTGATACCACTGGTTGCTCAAAGTGCTGTATTATTTCTACTGATGAGCAAAGGAAAAATGAGAAAGCCTGAGGCTCTGGAGTCGTTGAATCCTGCCTTTAAATTACAGCTTCGCCACTGAGTAAGCTATGCAGTGTATGAATTCACACAAGCCAGTTAGCATGTTAGTCTCGGTTCTTTATAAAGAAGGAGAAAAAAAATCCGTGTCCTGGTTCATGTGAGGATTGAATAGGCCGCTCTGCACGGTGCCTGGCCCAGTGCCGGACGCAAAGTGACAGGATGACAAATACCAGTCTCTCCCTTCGACTCATGTATATTTATTACATGGCATTTCCAGAGGCAGAGCTTCCCGTGAAGTTGGACGACTTCATGTGCAGTTTCTACAGGGAAAGCGTCTATGTTCCATCAAGAGCCCCAGCCATTCCTGAGCTCTCAGCATGACGCAGTGCTGGAATAGTCTCTAGTGGTGCATAACGGAGCCAGCACTGGGCTGGGGAGAGAGGGAAGGCACGTAGGAAGAGGACTGATGGCCACGGAGCCTTGTGCCAGGTGCCCAGTGAGCTGCAACTTGACAGGTGCCACAGGCAGTCCAGAGACGCAGGGTCCTCGGCCTGTCTGAAGGCTCGTCTGGAAACGAGGAAAGCTGAAACACGTCCACCCCTGCCTTTTTCAGCTGTCCTGAGCTGCAGGCACTGGGAGCCCTTTGCCTTTGCAGACTCAGCTCTGCTCCGTCCCTGAGGCAGCCCAGGCTGAGGCAGGCAGGGCACGTCTGGTTCAGACCGGCCCCAGCCCTTCCCGGCCAGTGAGGCTGGAATGATTCTTTCTCCCCTTGAGCCTTGGGCACCCAGGGCCTCAACAATTAGTACGCCCACTCTCTGAAATACAAGCATATTTGTCCCCATCTCGCTTGACTTTTGAGGCAGCTCCACTATCTTTACATTGGGCAGAAAGATAAATATTGAATCCTCTCTGGTGTTAAACTGCACTGTTCCTAAGCCATTTGTCAAAGCACATTCCCACATCACCTCTCATCCCACCTGAAACCCACCTTCTAATTTTGACTTGAGAAACTGTCTCTCTGGATAGAACCTTGGCCCTCCTTTAACTGTAGGTTAAATATTTCTGCTGCTCTTACCTATAAATCATCTCTCCCATCCCACCTGGCCCCAGAAAGCCCTTCCTCAGGTTAGCAATGGTTCTCAACCTTCCCGATGCTGCGATGTATTTTCATAGTTAGAAAGGGGTCACAACCCACAGTGAGAACCGCTGGTTAGACGGTGTGGAAGGCTTATCTACCTATGCTCAGCAAACAGAAATGGCCAGTGTGTATTAGATTTGCTCTTCAGCCTTCCTGCTAGGGGTGGACGTTATGTGACATGATAACGTATCAGATGGAACCCTGATGTGTTATTTACCTCTTACCAGCTCTCCCTCAGGGGCCAAATCCAGTTCCCCATCATGCTCCAGCCACCAACCTGGGCCTTCTGCAGTCCGGACAGACCTCCCAGAAATAATCCAAGGGCCGTCAGCCATAACTTGGGGCCAGAAATTAATGCTGCCCTGCCAGTCACTGTGGTGTGAGTGGCGGCTACTGCAGACCTCGTCTGGCTGCTTCCTGCCCCACCACGCAGGATGACAGTTTCCATCCTCAGCCTCCTTGAGGTTGAGAGAGCTGGTGAGTGCTTGCTTCGGCAGCACATATACTAAAATTGGAAGGATACAGAGATTAGCATGGCCCCTACGCAGGGATGACACGCAAATTGGTGAAGCTTTACATATTTAAAAAAAAAAGAAGAGAGCTGGTGACCAGTTCTGTTTGATGAGCTATGAGAAATGTCGTGGGTTATTTCTGGATCAGGTCTTTGACTGTCCCTGTGAGAGTCCCCAGAGCAACAGCAGGGTTCCAGCTGGGGATTGGCCGCAGCCTCCGTTTCAGAGGGAGCAGAATCCTCAGCCAGCCCACACTGAACATGTCACTTGAGTGAGACATAAGCCCTTTATTTGGTGAAAACTCTGAGGTTTTCAGTTTGTTTCTCATCTCAGCATAACCTGTCCTAACAAATACAGTTCATACTGTTAGCGCCACACCGGCCCACAGCAGGGCTAAACTTGCCCTGACCAGAACAGCTGGCTGAGGCTTGCCTGGGGGAGACTGGCTGCTAAGTGAGTCCCTCCTGTCCCAGTTCTGAACACCCCTGCTGCTCTCCTCTCATAAAGTTGCTGTGTGGAACTCTCAGTCTCACAAGAAATCAGGAGAACACTCTCTGATTCTATGCCAGGGTTTCCTGAGAGAATGTTTATCAGTGGAAATAGTGTTTAGGCGCAAGAGACAAAAACCTACCTGACTGTTAAATTAATATGATAAAATTAGTTGTTATTTCCTCAATAAGAAATATAGGGACGCTCAGTCATCAAGTTGACCTGTGGATTCAACAATTCCATCACAGAGCCAAGAGCTTTTCTTTCTTTTTTTTTTGAAGTTTCTGACTGGGGCTGGGTTTGAACCTACCACCTCCGGCATATGGGGCCAGCGCCCTACTCCTTTGAGCCACAAGCGCTGCCCCAAGAGCTTTGTATTGTTCCATTCTCTAGTCCCGGTTGGTTAGCCACTGGCCTCTGGTTACCTGACTGTAAGATGCTGCCGTCTCCAGAGGCACCTAACTTCCACATAACAGCACCCAATGCACGAAAACCTTCTCAATTCCATTTTTTCTCTTTTTTTAATCAAGGAAGAGCCGCTAGCACTTAGGCCCCTGGTCTCAGCCAGATTCTGCAATGCAGTCTACAGGTTGCCACCAGGGATGACCAAGACCGGCTTAGAGACCTCCTGATGCATTCCTTGACACTGGGTATGTTGCTAGTCCAGTGAAATCTTGATCCAATTAGGAAAAGAGAGGGAACAATGGCCATTGTGTGGCAGTCAGTAGTATAATAATAGGTTTCACTTGAGAAAAGAGCTCCGGTCAACTAATTTGGGAAACATTGGGTTTAACAAGTTTTGTCGTTACAGAACATCTTAAAATAATCATAGAATCTGCTCGTGTGCTCTGTGAACCTCCTGGATAGAGAGGAGCGGTGCTGCTCTCCCAGATGCACTCCACGAGTTTCCCACCAGCATTCTACTGCGTGTGCCTCGGAATCACGGCTGTATTTGGGGCCCTCCACAACTGGGAGTTCATAATGTTTTCACTTGACTTAGATGGATGTTTTCCTTTCATGCTATCTGTGAACAAGAGGTTCGTTCTGAAAAAAAAAAAAATTAAAGGCTATTACAAATGAAATTTGATTCTTTACCTCATTACAGAAACAAAATGATATTTACTACCATATTAATTACTATCTTACAAATGAATGTTGCTATCAATGTCCAAACTGATCATTCAAGTAGGCTCAAAAAAGACCTCTATTTGGAAATCTTTATTATAAGAATTAAATTATTCTCCTTTTGGTTAAATTGTAGCTCTTTAAGCACCATGAGTTAAATAATCAGGATAGCATGTGTCAAATATTAACAAATAATACAATTCTGCATTTCTTTGTGATTTTTTTTTTCCCCCTGGGGCCAGGTTTGAACCCACCACCTCTGGTTTATGGGGCCGGCACCCTACTCCTTTGAGCCACAGGCACTGCCCTTCTTTGCAATGTTTTAAAATATAGTATTTCCATCTATTCCAGCTTTTAAGTCTTCCTCCTGTCTACTCCACACGTGTTCCAGGGGGAAACTGCCTAGTCATACACAGCAGGCGGAGGGTCTCACCTCGGCCACCTACCTCCCCTCCGAGTACACACCCTAACCCTAAACTATGCACGCATACAGATACAATCTCAGCAGATTAGGCCTTTGGCTAAAAAAGCTCTTTCCTTGATGTCAAGCAAATATCAAAGTATTGTATGGCTAACATTTTCTCTTTTGTGACATGTGGCGCTTCTGATAAATTTCATTAGTTACATTGAAGTTGTGCTGATTTGAAGTTCAATATTATATAAAGATTTTCATATTCTTTTGACAATGCACTTCTAAGATTTTTCATTTATTTACTTTAGTAGTTTTGTAAAAAGTTTCTGCATATGCTACAACATAAAAACTTGTTACAATCTAAAAGGATTTGAAGAAACCTTCCAGAAAGTGGAGTTATTTTAGCAGCAAACATGTGTTTATTTTTTGCGCAAATGTGCATTTTCCTTTTTTGAAACCTACATAGTAATTTTTAAAGTATCACTTCTGAAACATATGGCTTGGCTGTTCCACACAGGGGCTGCAGGGAGCTGGAGAACATACTGTGCTTGGATGTATTCAAGCTTAGGTTTCAGCCCTGCACCTTTCACAACAAACATTTCATAGACTTCCTGCTATTGATACCAGAAACATGGATTTGGCCGTGAGATCACCTGCTCTTTTAGAAGAGAGACTTAAAAGGAAATTCTGAGAGGTTATAAAATCTACAGGAAATAAATACAGTGTTGACTTTGGTCTAAGGTGACTGGGTTGGTAAGGAAGTGATGAAACAAAACTTTATAACTAACTGCAAGTAGAATGAGGTATCAGCGTGTTACCCTTTGAGCTCCTTTTTATTTTACTTTCCCCCCATTGTTGCTTTTGTAAAAAAAAAAAACTTGCCTCGACGTTTTAAAACATTATTGTCTCTCACAGTTTACTCACAACCCTAGTTTTCAAGAATGTGACAGTCAGTGTAGCAATAAGAATGACCAGTAAGGAAAAGGTATCCAGTGTACTCAGGACTTGTATGAAACATACTTGTATTTACTCACTCTTCATTATGAAAGATGGAACACAACTATAGCCCAGGATGAAGGAGAGAAATGGAGCGGGAATTGGGGGGAGGGAGGAGGTTTAATAGAGGGAGGGAGGGTAAAAGGCGGGGCCACACCTATGGACCATGTTGCAAGGGTACAAGTCAAATCTGTCAAGTGTAGAACATAAATTCCTTAAAATAATAATCAAGTAAATGAGGCAAAAAGTATGTTGATTGGTTTGATGTAAGCACCTCAGATTGCATAAAAAAATCAACACATTGTACCCCACATATGCATAAATGTATTCATGATCTATGTGTATTTGACTTAATAAAAAAAGAATGACTGGTAATAACAGCAGCAAGGATTAGACAAGTGCTCACCACAGGCAGGCTCTGGGCAGAGTGTGTCCCCACTTCACCGTCTCAGCAAACCTAAGCAGCCAGTATTATCATCACCTCCGTACTATACATGAGAAAACAAAGCACGGAGCTTCAATAACTTGCCCAAGAGCACTGAGCGGGGAGTTCTTAACCATTATCTTACACTCATTACAGCGACAGTAAGGACACCCACCTCGCGGAAGTGCAAATTACGTTCCTGGAACTTTGACTAACTTGCTTCATCTGGACAGCGCTAAGAGGACATAATATCCTTGTTCTACAGATGAGGAAACTGCGGTTCCAGGACAACCTGCTCGAGGTAATGTGCTGCTAAGTGGCACTAAACCCCCTACCGTAAGCGACCAAAGATAATTTGGATTGAGCTGCAGCTGGGGCTTTTAAAATATTAGTGATGAGAGATGATGCCTCGTTTGAGCTATGTGGTGGTGGTGTCCTGTGACTGAGAGGAAAAAGCAAAACAGAGAGAAAGAAAGACAGAAAGGTGATGCTGGTTTCCCTGGTGACCCCGAAGTGGCCTGGAACACCTGCAGACTCACTGCTGGGGGCTGTTCCAGGTCTCTAGACTCTACGCACAGCTGTACTGCTACAGAGCAGGAATCAGCAAACTTTCTGTAAGGAGCCAGATGGTAAATATTTTTGGCTTTGCATGTCACACAATCTCTGTCACTACTGCTCAAATCTGCCATTTTAACAGGAGAGCAGACACAAACAACAAGTAAATGAATGGCATGACTGTGTGCCAATAAAGCCTTATTTATAAAAACAGGTCGTTGGTGATGTGGCCTGCAGGCTGTGGTGTACCAGCCACTGCTCTGGCATCCAGGGTGTTGGCTTGGGGGGTACTGAGGGCCAGGTCCTATGGTCCCCAGTGGCCAGTGCAGCCATCGCCATTCCCATAAGTATAATAGAAACAGCAGGGCTGTGAGGAAGCTCCTTCTGGTATCTTTCAGGGCACCAGATATTGACCACACAGATAAGGGGCACCACCTTAGGGATTATACTTTGCCATAACTTCTAAATGCATATACAATTTGAAGCAGACGGAGACTCAGAAATAAAGCTGACATCATAATTAATGACCATGCCATTATATTTTTATTCCTACAGAAGACACACATGAATTTGATTATCCCAAGAGCCCTTTCAATTCTCCATTAATTTTCTCTCTGTTTTTTCTTTGTCTCTTTTTCTGTGTCTTTAGCATATTTATAGACAGCCTGAATTTGCAGTGATAGACTCCTGAAATAATTCCATGTTTCTGTGTTCACAGCCCTCAACTCTGTGAGGTCAAATGTCCCTTCCCTGTAGGTGGAAGTTCTTGTCTGGCCACTTTTCATTGTTCAAGGTCTAGTTAAACTTATACTACTAAGTTGTGGTGTAACCACCACAAAGAGAATAATTGCTTCAGCTTTGAAAAGTGCATTTTTATCTACTCATACCTCATGGGACGTACACAAACCTTCCATAGTATTCAGTAATAATATTAGTATTCGTATTTTGAGAAATATATTAAGATGCATTTTTCATAAAGCAAATGTCAATGTCTTTAGGGCCCACGATTTTTAGCTTAAAATAAAAGGGATGAAAAAAATTCAGTTGAAAAAATTCTGTAATTTATATAGAA